AAGTACTTTTCTGGGCTTGTCCAACATAAGCAACGTACAGCGAATGTCACATACCTGTGATTTTGGGCCAAAGGCTTACTTTCTATATATTCACTCACTAGTCAGTGATCTTCTTTTAAAACTAGAGTTGTGTTTTGTAATATAGCTGATAAATTACAAAAATTAATTGCAAAATAAAAACAATAGAGTACACTTTCCCATTTTTCTACTTTCAGTCTTTGATCTCTTTTTAATTTTTTCCTCCCCTTTCTTATTTGTATTCATTTTGATGCCCATCAATTTGTTTCTCTATTACTGTTATTTTTGCAATTTTCTGGTTCCTTTGGAGCTTGTACTATTCTCTTTGATCTGCTTCCCTTCGAGCTTTATTTTTGGTGCTATTTTTCATGTTCTGTAAAAAAAAAATATTTTTGCCCCTCTTCCCTTTATTCTTTTAACTCCTTCTTCTTAGAACAAGAACAAACTCCAGCTTTGAGCGAACAGGTAAATGTTTTTAAAAGAGTAAGCCCTAAGAATCCTTGGCTTCGTGCTGATGAATAGAAATGGTTGAGAGCGTACTTCAAAGGCCCTCAAGAACAAAGAACCTTTTCTGAGGCCACTAACAAATCCACCAATTCTTTTTGACCCATCTTTGCCAAAAGATATGAGCTAATGACAGGAAAGACCTATCTTGTAAGAATAGCCAAGTAGGCTTGGGAACAAACATATCCTTGACATAATTAAGGAAAAACATACTGTTTATCTCTTTAATAACCATCTTGAGGAAAATTAATGTTACTTTGTCCTTTGTGCGGAACAATAATTGGATTGTGTGTTTCATTTATATCTGGACAAAGGCCAGGATATTGAAATACTTCTCAAAATTAGATTTTCTTGTTTAAAAATTAGATTTTATTGGCATTCTCTTTCTGAGATTTCTTCATTAAAAGCTTCATTAAACATAAATCTTCTTTTACACAGCAGAAAAAAAATTATTTTAAGGAGGTCATTTTAAAAGTCTTTTGGAAGGGGGGGTGCTAAGCTCTCTACTGGTGACTTGTCTTACCAAAAATTGGGCATTCCAGGGAAGAAATGATCATTGATCTTTGCATACATGTATCTTAACATTAATTACATTGATAGTTGGAGCTATATAACAAGTTATGTTCCAGTGTCTAAGGCTGTTACAAATGAGCTATTTTTAAAATTTGGGGGCTAGGAAGTATGCTGTAGAGGATTGATTTGGTGACAACCTTAGGAGGTGTCTTTAACTCTGGGGGAGATGAAGTCATCCATCAGGAAGAGTTTACATAGTTAAAGTGCTGAAAAGCTCAATTGCGTTTTAAGTACATTTACATACTAAATTTTGATTACAGCTTCTGAACAGGAATGAGCACACTCTTCACAAGGGCAACAAGAAAAGTGACAACTCTGTGGTTTTCCTGCCTTCAAACTGTTTCCTACTCCTCATTCTGGGCATGCTTGGACACACACTTCCAAGCCACTACCCAATACAACGGCTCGGGCAGTGTTAATGCAAACTCAGCTCTGCTCTTGGTCTCCTGGTGCTGTTTCTGGTTCACAGCTTTCCGAGGAAAAGACCATTAAATGGTTTGGTTTAAAAGGCCTTCCCCACTGGGCCACAAACTTCACGTGTAACAGAAATAAACAAATATAACGTGATTTGTCAATAAGGCACAATTCTTAACAAAGAATGGTCTTACCTATAAGAACTCAAAGTAAAGATGTATGTGTTCCTGTCAAAAGTCTGCAAGTGGGAACATTCATGCTATAACTGAAAACTAAGTGTGAAAGCATTAATCAGATGAGTAGTTTTTCCCCCCAAAAGAAGAAATACCAACAAAGAAAACCCTAGTCGTGGTTGTAACATATGAGCTTGTAACATTTTGTTAGTTCTCCACCCACCATCTTTTTAAGGAACTCACCAATAAACTGATGCAGCCTTTGCCCCTGGATAAGTACCCCATGGGTAGGAGATGAAGATTGGTGACTTCAGGGTTCAGAGAAGGCTAGGGGTCTAGGAGTCGGGACTGGATGTTGAACAGGCAGCACAAGGGAACCAGATTTTGAGACTCTGGTAGTTGGATGGTTTCAAAGCACCACATTTAGAGAGAAGATGGGACACTGGAACTGGATTCTAGGCCAAGAATCAGCAAGAAACAAGGCAAGAAACAAAGTGGTGTCAGCGGGTTTCAGAAACGGTGCTTGGAGAGTCCCAAGGCCCCTTGCCATGGGCTGGTCCAGCTCTCATAGGTCATGTGAGCCTGAGCTGAGTCTGGGGATGGAAGTAACGGCACAGTTGGTTCACTCCCTCTCTCCTTTATCCCTGAAGTTAAAGGTTAAGCTTTAGTTGGCCTTTCTCATTGGAAATTCTTTACTCTCAGGACAATTCATGGTCAAGAGAAGGTCTCCACTGCTTCCAACGGATTAATTCCTGAGCTGATGCAGGCACGGTGTGCTCAGGAATCCAGAACCTCTGCAGTGAGTGCTCTCGGTTTGGGTCTGGGGGTTCTCAGGCAGGCTGCTACAGCACAGGGCATACAGGGTTGGCTGGTGGTCTCACAGGGCTGGAACTGCACAGGTTATAAAGCTTGGACTTGTCCACTCCTTCCACATGCCCCTCCTCACCATACCTCCTTCAAACAGCTGGTCTAGAGAGGCCTCAAAAATTTAGTGACGATTAATAAAAAAGAAAATGGAATAGTTCTAGAACAAAAAGAGTATTAGAAAAATGGAGGAAAAAGGCAGCCAAATTGACTAAAAGATGATTACTATTCGCCAGAAGAGTATCCCATAGGGCAAAAAGCATGCAAGGGAATGATGGAAGGTTTCAGGGTGCAAGGACCCTGATGAGAGTCCACAAAGCAGCAGCACCAGAACTTCTGGGAGTGATGGGAACAGGGAATTAGAAAGACCTAGTAGATTTTAATTTGCTCGTAATGGTTCAATACTGATAAAGTGGACAGAAGAAAAGAAAAGACAGAAAAGTCAGAAGAAAATATGTAAATGACATGAAATTAATCTGATAGCTACAAGTAATTTATATTAAACTCTGTGACCTACAAACAGAGAGTATGTTGTTCTCTCCTCCAGATATGGTGCTCCTTTGAACTTCTGTCCATCTGAATTGGCTTCTTTGTCTATCTCATCCAGTTTCCTCCTTCTAATACAGTTCACATCTAACATCTCCCAGGTGTACATCTCCATCCTGAACTCCTCTGACTCCTGACTCATATTTACCTGCTTGCTTGACACCTCTGCTTGAATGTATAATAGGCATCGCAATAAACATGTCAAAAAATCGAATTCTTGATATCCTATGCCTGCAAATCTGCTTCTCTTAGTCATCTCCAAATTAGTAAGCATAAGTCCATTCTAGCTTGGGTCGTGCCAGTCTCCCATCTAATCCATCAACAAGCCATGTCAACTCTACCTTCACAAAACACTGGCACCCAGTTGCCTCTCAGCACCTGCGCTGCTCCTAATCCAAGCCACAACACTGTTCACCTCTTCTGGGCCTCTCCACTTCTGTCCTAGGGCACTTATAATTTATTCTCTCACGACAGCCAGAGGTAATCTCATTAAATATAAGACAGATCATGTCACTTTTATGCTTAAACCTTTGAGTTTGAGTGGCTTCCTCTCTCAGCATAAAATCCAAAGCCTTAGAATGGTCTGTAACCTATCCTATATGCCTTATCTATCCTATATGCCTTCTGCCACTCTTCCTCTTACCCACTCTGTTCCAACCTCACTGCAAGGAACAGTGTCTGCTGCCTCAAGATCTTGGCACATGCTGTCCTTCTGCTCTTTCCAGTTATCTATGTGGCATACCTCCTCATTTCCTTGGCCTTTCCTCAAATATGGAAACTATTCTTTAAATAAGGACAATATTAGGACCTACCAACTTTTAATAGCCATAGGTGATGGGGATTCAAAATGTGAAAGATTTATGCGATCTGAAGAGAAACCAGAGTATTGGTGATGGGGATTCAAAACAGAGACAGAGTTAGGGGACATAGAATAATACTGATAAATATTGTTATTAGTGCTATGCACTTGACCAAGTTATGTATTTTTTGAATTATGAAAACAACACTGTGGCCACAAGGTATCATTCATGTTTTACAATAGGGCCCAAAATCTCAAACAAGCTACCTTGTCAGGGGTCACATAGCCAGTAACTTCTAGAATTAGAAAGCACAGCCTTCACTCCTGTCTTGTGGTCCCAGAGCAAATGCTCTTCCTCCTCTACATTAAAGTTTATTATATCATGATAATGATATAACAAGTGATATAATAATAATAATAATAATAATGATGATAACAACAGCAGCTAACCTTTACGAATTCCAAGAACTGTTTTAAGCACTTTCCATGTATTCACACAGTTAATCCTCACAGAAGCCTGGGAGGGGAGCACTGTTATTTAAAGTGCAGCTTACAGAGAAAGAGACTAAGTCAGTGGCAGGGTACATAACCTGTTCAAAGCAAACAGGTGGTTATGGTGGAACCAGGATTTACATCCAGGCACTCAGGCTTTAGATCCTGGGTCTTTAACCACCACATTAAGTCTCTGCTTGGTCTTAGAGCACTTTTCTTGTGCTTTGCTGAACATGCTAGATACAGCTTACAGTTGGACATAAGTGAATTCTCCATTTGGGTAAGTTGTGATCAACTGTATTCACTGAACATTTCTTCAAGACCTAGGTAGTTTAAGAAATAGCATCTTAGAAAAAAAAAAAAAGGAGATACCATCTTCGGTTGAATTTAAGTGTGAAACATTTCAGCACAACTGCTTATTGTCAGATGTTGAAATCCAGTCAAGCAGAGGTCTGTGGTTTCTGGAAAACCCCATGGCCACCCTTTCTAAGGTCGATATTTTCCCCCTGAACAAGGTGCCCCTTACTACAAACTGAGGAGCTTGTGCCCTAGACTTTTCCTCCTCAGCACCAACCTCCAGGGAGGCTCCCACAGGCAGAGGGAGGAGAGCGCCTTACCCAGGGTGAGCATAGGCCATCTGTCGGAACTCGTTGTTCCAGTTAGGTCTTCCATAGAACGTTTTCTGCTTTAATCCCGTGATCACATCGGTACTTTCATCCCAGTGTAAAGCAATGTGAACAGCCTAAAATAAAAATGGTGACATTAGGTGATATTTAGAAAAAAACACCTTCTCAAGTAATTATGTTCAAGTAATTATGTTCATTTGTAGATTGAATACTCAAAAAAATCTCTTCATGTGGCTAGAGATGGTTATCATTAGTATCAGAAATCACTGATTTTGCATTTTGGGATAGACATCCCATCTCATTTATCTTTGTATTCCACCTTGGGCACTACTGAAACAAAGGGTTTGATGTATGCCTGAGTAACGTGAACCTGGGAGGAATTTTTTTGATTCCTGATGAGCATAGTACCGTAAGTATGGTTAAGGGAAAGGAAGCATTAAGCTACTACCTTTTCTTCTGCCAAACGTCTCAGAAATTAATCTCTGCCTCTGTCCCCATTCACTTAGTATTAAACCTTAGAGATTTGAGAAGGGCACTGCCAGATTAGAACGATAGGAACAATTCAGGAAGCAGCTGAGTCTTATAATCAGTTCTGCCTAGTGGGTGGAAACAATTTGAAGTGTACTGTCCAGGTTCTACTGCTGGGAGGAGGCGGAGTCTGGCAGACAGACTCTGGTGGCCAAGCACAGAGAGGGGCAGGGTTGGAGCTCCATGACCATCCATTTGTTTTCAAATTGTGTAAGAGTGCACAGGCATCAGGTAAGTAGTGGCCAATAAATAAGAGCCTAGGGCATAGCACTGCCTACTGATGATATTTCAAGTTGCCCAATCCTGGTAGCTACTTTCCTTCTTACCTGCTGGGATTTGTGTCTTCTGCGCACATCTCCCTGATACCCCACAGCTCTTGTGTTCATGCGTTTCACACTCTTTGGTGCTCCATTTGCTCATGTCCTCTGACTCCTCCTGCTCCTGAGCAATTTGGCTAATAACACTGCTGGGCCAACCGTTACCCCAGGTGAGACCCCAACAGACCAGTTGGTGATGGTGGACAGTGGTGGAGTTGCAGAAGCCTGGGCTGCAGGAAGTTGCCAGCAGGCAGGCCTGATCCCAGGTGGCAGGGATCCTTTTGGAATGGAGTTTGGGAGTAGGGGACTCCAGGAGAGGGAGCAACAGTAAGAGGATGGCAGGATCCTCTTCTTGGGCAGGTTTATCAAGACAGAGAAGGAAGCATGAAGTAGGAGACAAGAGCTCAGGAATAGGAAGTCAGGTGGTAGTTGAGGATTGAGCCCTGAAAAGTGGTCAGAGTCAAGGTCAGAGTTGTGTCAGCCTCCAGATTAGAGCAGCCCTCTTGCAGCCCCACAGCACCTCTTGCTTAACAGTAGGATTGACTGGTGCCATACAGTCTGCTGGTTTCAGCTGTGGGCAAAGAAGAAGGCAGAGGCAGCCAATTTACTTTCGACTAAGTGCCAAACCTAATGACCAGCTCAGGCCTATTCTCCTTGGTTTCTCCTCCAATCACATGGCTGAACATTGCTTCTCCTTAATTTTTTATGCATTATAAAATCCTGTTTCTTCTACTTCTTTCTCTGACTCTTCATTCAAGGACGAAATGTCAGATTTGTTTTCCTATGATCTTCTCCTGTCTCACAATGCAGCTGCTTTCCCAGTCTCCAGTCCCTTTTGGGCTATTACTCCCCATTTTCATGGTTCCAATAAGCATCATCTACAAAGATGACTACCAACTTTTTCCCCCTGCCCTCATCTTCCTGCCCAAGTAGAATCCTGGCAGCACATTTTGAACTCCCCATGCATATTTTTACATATTTTTTTTTCTGTTTCTTCAAATTGATCATCATAGCTCAAATGAAACTTCAAGTAATGTGTGATTCAACTTCCTGCCACATACAACTACTGAGCAATTCCTAAATGCAGGCAGGGTACTGTGGGTGAGCAGTACAAAAAGAAAGAGAGAAGGCCTCTGCTCTGTAAGGAACTGGTCATCAAGGGGAGAGGAAGCCTACGTGCACAATGTCAATGACATAAGTCAGACCAGAATCTTTTTTTACTAGATACGGAAAGAAAGTGCTCTTGGAGAACGAGACAAATTACCCCACAGAAGCCCTAAGTACTTTTGACTAAGAAAATTGCGGATGGCCAGGTCTTTGAAGAACCATTCCATGTCTAGGCAGTGGGGAGGACAGAGGATGTTAAGTGGCTGTCAGGGAGAGGGAACAGAGAGGGAAGACATGGAGGCATGCAAACACAAGGCTTGTCTGGTGGCTCTTGAACGAGAGGGGCATGAGGGAACACAGCAGAATGAGTTGGTTGCGGTCAGTCAGGAAGGGCCTTAAAGTCCTTGAAGAGAAGGTCGGGCATTATTTAATAGAAAAAAAGGGCCCTTTTCTACTTATGTTAGTGGTACTGTCGAACTACCCATCAGTGATATTCAAACATTTGGAATTATATTCGTTCCATATTTCTCAGCCCAGTGTTCAATTAATCTCCAAACCCTGTTGATTTGCCCTTCATAATACCTTTTCCATCTGTCCCTTCTGTTCTTGTCATTCTGCCACGTTCAGATTATTGAATTCAGCTTAACAATTGGCTATTTCTAAAACAGCCTTTTGATTCCTCGCTGACAGAACGCACCAATTATTTTTTTCCTGGAATTTGAGCATCTAAAGAGTTTCAACGTGTCACGACAAAAATTTAAGAACACGTCTATTTTAATTTATTTCTATTCAGTTAAAGAAGTCTATCTTAAAGCATACTTTGAGAAGGGGCAGAGATATGATGGGGCAGAGTTGTATTGTCATGAAATCAAACAAAGCCTCAGGTCTCAAAACTCCCAAATGACTGGGAATTCAGAGATGGGCACAAGGAAGAGCAAGCACAATACTTGAAAACAAAACAAACAAACAAACAAACAAAAAACAAACAAAGGCTGTATTTGTACTTTATCCAATGGATCATTAGTCAAAAATCCTGTTTGAATAAGGGAAATGTTTGTTTGGAAAACATAACACAATTTAATTCATTAAGATGTTTTAAGCCTCCTTCCGAAGGAACCTGTATTTCCCAAAGGAAATTATCCCAAAGGAATACATATTTAAGACCAATGGCAAATAAGACCCTAAAAATTCATTTAGCTACTGAATTTTAAGCTAAGTCTTACCCAAAGGTACAGAGTCAAATTTCAGCTATGTCCCGTAGGCCTGTGTGTGTGTGTGTGTGTGTGTGTGTGTGTGTGTGTGTGTTTATGAGAGGCAGGGAGAGAGCAGGAGTAACCATGCTCAGGAACACTTTCATTTGTGAATTTAGTGATTAATGCAAATCTTGGCTCAGACATACTTTCCTTAAAGTAAATATTAACAGGATCGACGTATGTTTCATAAATCTAGTGATCACTTCATTGTTAGCTTCCATATTTGAGGAGTTAAATAAGATTTATTTATTTTTTTTTAAAGATTTTATTTATTTATTTGACAGACAGAGATGACAAGTAGGCAGAGAGGCAGGCAGAGAGAGAGAGGAGGAATCGGGCTCCCTGCTGAGCAGAGAGCCTGATACGGGGCTCGATCCCAGGACCCTGGGATCATGACCTGAGCCGAAGGCAGAGACTTTAACCCACTGAGCCACCCAGGCACCCCAAGGAGTTAAATAAGATTTAAAACTTAGTCGTTATCATTCAGTATTGTCAAGCCTGAAATTCTACCCTAGTGCAATACTTTGATATACATTATTTTTGGTAAACGCAACCTTACTATTTCACTGATACAATATGGTGCAGAACATGTGCCACAACAGACGATCCTCTTGATCTTGGGTGAATGAACATATGTGCACACACTTTCAAGAATGTCTTAAGAAAAAGAAGTCTCTAGATAAATCATGTATTCATAATGATTATTTTCTGTAGATGCTCATATAATTCTTAACACAAAATGTCGAATGTAAATACTTGGGTGTTTTTTTCTAACTCTGAATAGCTCAAAGCATAGAATTAGAACCAATCAGGAGCCAAACAAAACAATACATCTGCTCGGGAATATTCGCTCGATGTCACCAAAATGACAAATGCAACTTTAAGTGACCTAATTATTCTCGGATTTCCATGCTTAGAATTGTCTTCCTTCCATTAACCACTTCTTTCTCAATCTTCTTTCCTATTCCTCAACAAGTTAACTGTCAATTTTTTTTTATTACTATGATTTGAATAGCTCTTTCTAACCTGGTTTATTTTATTCTTCTTTTCTTTTTAAGAACGTGCAAATAATTCTTTCATGCCACCAGATAACTATATAGCTCATTATTGACACTGTTCCTCTGCTTTTTGCTCCATTATTAGATGAGTTATGTAATACTGATTATTCTAAGAGTTTTATCAATACCTGATTTTCATCCCAGCCGGTAAGAAATATATGATAACTCAGAAAATGAGCTTTCCCCTGCTCACTCATAAGTGTTTCCAGCGAGAGTAAGAGATCAGCAAACCACTCAAAAGCCTTTGGATCCCGGCAAATCCAGTAGAAATACACCTGTCAAGAGAGAAGACAAGAGAACGGATTTGTCCCTCTTTTCATAATGTGCTGATAATCACAGACTACTTTATCTCCATTAAATTATTTGAGCTCAAATGGGCACTTCTGCAAAATGACATGCTTCTCTCTGCCAGGGAACAGTCACACTGTGATTTCTTTTGAAAAATTTCACATTGTGTTTGAAACAGTCCAGAGTGAATTCAGAGTCAGGAGTCTGTGGGCTGTTGCCAGTTTCACTGGATGAGGATCAATTCACCACATTCCTGGCTGTGCTTCTTTTGAACGAGGTTAATAATCATAACTAGCTGTGCCTTTCACAGCTCCCAAAGGGGGATAAACCATTAGACCAACCCCCTTCATCTTTACTCATGACCTAAGCTTGGGATTTGAACTCTCTTCTCCAGAGACCCGAAAGGCTCCTGCACTAACCTACTTCACCATCACGGCTTTTGACTTCTGAAGGGTGGAGATTATGGCAATCGCCGAACCAAGACACACAGGCCAGAAGTTTCCCTCAGCCAGACATATCAGTGTCCGATAAGGCTGGCGGGTGTTGGTTATGGTTGAGTGTCAACTACTATAATGAAATTATGTCTAGGAACACTTTTTTTTTTAACTTTCTGTGTTTAGCAAATGGCATGTGACAAGAAGTAGTCTGGGTTTGCTGAAATAAGGGCTTAGTTTTGTGCTTTGAGTTAGGTAATTGGATCTAGAAGAAACCACAGGAGAAAGATCTATTAATTCTCCTGATTTTTCTCACACTCCTATTCCTTTCCGCTCACTACTCTTTCCTGCACCCCTTCCGCAAAGAGACTTCTTGTTGCTTAATAAGATTTACCAGGGGGCTGGCCTTGACCTTCGATGGGAAATATCTCCTCCAATAGACGGTGAATATTCCTGCCACCCCTCTCCACCGGCCAGCCTGAAGCTCACAATCATGATGGAAGTTCTATATGAGATTTAATTAACAGATCAAGTTCATGAGGAGAAAAAATTCACACAATATGTTTCAAGGTAAACATCTTGCTATTTTCTCCAGGTTTGTACAGGAGTTTATAATATTAACAGTCATTAAGAGCAAAAGCAAGTGAGGATAAGACCTTTTCTCTTAAGAAAACAGATAAAAATAAGGGAAGGGGGGAAAAATAGAGGGAAGCAAACCATAAGAGACTCTTAACTACAGAGAACAAACAGAGTTCCTGGAAGACGGGGAGTGGTGGATGTGCTAAATGGGTGAAGTGCCCCAAGGAGGGCCCTTGTTGTGTTGAGCACTTGGTGTTGTATTAAGTGATGAATCACTAAATTCTATTCCTGAAATCAATATTATACCATATGTAAACTAACTAGAATTTAAATAAAAATTTGGAAAAAAAAGGAATTAGAGCCCAATATTTGTTGGACAGCTATGACTCGGAAGGCACTTTCAATACTACTCCCAGCTCAAATTATAATCTCTAAGTGTGTTAACTCCCAAAAGGAGTGTCTTTCTCTTTGAAGTCTTAAATCTGAGCTAATGATTCCTTCCATTGAAGGCCCCCTGGGCCCCCCCCCCCAAGTATAGTGATTGTGTTCACCCACTCATTGACTCAGCAAACACTTACTCTGTGAGTAAGCATAGTGCTTACTCTATGTCAAGACTGTTCTCCTCTCCAGAACTTCCAGAGCAAACAGAAGAGGCAAAAATCTGCTGTTCTCCTAGAGACTGCATGTAGAGGAAGAAGGAAGATGGTAATAAGTAAAACACAGAGTACATCAGAGAGTGATAAGTACTATGGAGAAACACAGAGCAGGCTGGAAAGGGCTGTAATCCTGAGTCAAGTGGTCAAGGGATGGAAATATTTAAGCAAAGACAAAAGGAAGCAGAGGAATCATTGTTAGGGCAGGAGACTTACAGAAGGAGTGGGATCTCTGGGGAAGACTCAGGGGGCCAATGTGGCTGAAGTTGTGAAGGAGGAGAAGGCAGTAAGAGATGAGGTCTAATGGGAAGGCTGGGAGGTATGGACATGGGGTTTGGGGCCATCTTGACTTCTACTCTGAGTGAGCTGGGAAAGCACTGCATGGTGTTGAGTAGGGGAGCGACAGGGTCTGAGGAAGGGTCAGGAGGAAGAGTCCCTGGGAGACTGGAGGCCAGGAGGCTGACTTGATAACCAATGTTGGTGATTAGCACCGCTATCTTCTTGCTTTTCACTTTGCATCTTGCCTAATCTAAATTATTCTTTGAAAACCTGAGCCCTCCCTTTGACTTGCTTTGCTCCCGGTGGACACAGAAAATCTATTGACTGAATTTAATACCATTCTTACCGACGCACCTCCCCTTCCTTCCTGCTCTCGGTAGTTGTTTTACCTAGAAACATTGATGGTGGCATTTGGATGAGAACAAACATCATTGATTTATTTTCTTTTATTTCCACTCCTTAAGGGATGTGCTTCAGATACATTCATATAGGAACAATACCCCACTTACTTTTTAGAAAACTTGTCAATTTCAGATCTAGTCTCAATCATCCTTCCTTGAAAAATGCCCACATCTTAGCTTCCTGCTCACATTGACCCTGATCCTTTCAAATAGAAATCATGCCTGTCCTTGCTTTCTTGTGGCTTAGCAGTGTGTCAGCCTTCTTAGGGCTTGCCAAGCCTTTTATACTTTTTACTTCCTTGTAATGGCTTTGTGTGTTTTTCCCTCTGTAATTGACTTAGAGGTGACACTGGGCAGCTTTGGTGCAAGAGGCAATGAAGGAACACTGAATAGGCTCAGAAGTGCTTCAGGCAGAAAAAGAAGAAAAGAGGCTTTGAACAGAGAAAGAGCCTATTTACTTTGACTCTCTTTCATCCTAACGGTGAGGGACACTCACTGTGAAGGGACAGGGCAGTTCCACTTCCGCGTTTCGTCCAGTAGGAAAGACCTGGTCGCTCGTAGAACAAATATCCCAGACAACAGGCTACACCTCTGTGATCTGCCCAACACTCGTCCCTCCTCGGTGTCCAAAAATAAAAAACCCAAAACCAGTTACCTATCTAAACCTTGGCCTCCAGAATTCTGTAGCTGATATCAGAGGCCCCAAATAACTTAAGGTTATTTGAATAAGTTTTGTTTAACAGAAAGCCATCTTCCTTCAAGAGATGAAAGTTCTGAGCTTTCATTGGAACAAAGTTACTGCTTCTAACAGGACTCATCCCACATGTTTCTGTAGATCTAATGGAGTCTCAGATGTTTTAGGAGATGACTCCAGGAGTGGACAATGGTTTTAGGGAGCACTGTGTGCATGTGGCCTGTTGCAGGCTTTTGGGTCACATGCTTCCTGGCATGGACCACCCATCCCAAACTCAGCCACCTCCACTTCAGAGGGCCTGGGTGTGAGCCACACACAGTGCTCTGTTCTCTGGCAGCCACCTCCTCCCCATGTTCCTTACAGCTCTAAGAATTCTGCAGACTTGCACGTGGACCAGGTCAAAGAGATCTGAGGCCAGAGGGAAATGGACCTGTGCCACTTTTTGAGAAATAATTTCAGAAAATGAAGTAAGAAAAGCTACTCATCTATTTTACTAGCAGAATCCACAGATGTTCCCTGTCTCATGGCCTGGATGGGCATCCCCAAACACAGAGTACAACCTGTGTTTCTTTGATCCCAAATCCATTTCTTGAGAATGGAATGGGGGCAAAAAAACTATTTATTTATATATCTATATATTTATGGCCCAGAATCTCTCCAAAGAAGGAAACTGTACATGAGGACACAGTTTTATGACGCTGTATGGCAGAGTAATTAAACATTGTGAGCCCTTGAGTCCTCTAAACTGTTCTAGACTCCCACCTTCACCATCTACAAGCTGGGTAACTGGGGGAAGTTTTTTTCTTTTAACTTGGACCTAGATCACCGCATATATAAACAAACAAAGAAAACAACCCTTTAGAACAAGCAACCTGTGAGTGAGAAGGAAAAGTATGGTTCATGGGAGCATTGGGCACAAGGTCTGACACAGGCATTAAGTGCTCAGAGCTATTAGTTTTGAATGCTGCTCTCCTCACTGTCATTTGGAGGAGCTTACAGAATGAATACACACGTTTATATTAGAGACAGCAAAGGGAATCTTTGACTTACTTGGGGGTCTGTGTTCCCACCGGGCACTTGTGAATTATAGAGGTGGTGATCACTGAGAAGAGGTGAAGCCCAACTTTATCTCCAGCACCAGTCTGGGAACCTTAGCATTGATAAGGATGTGGTCTCAACTGAGGAACCCCTTCACTAGCAAAGCACACTCCACGCTATGTGTGTGCTATATAAGATGCAGTTTATGGGGTGCCAAGGTTAACCCTGACCTTGACCAATGCCTCCACCCAGGAGAAGGCCAATGAAGTTGCACTGTGACCTTGCCTTCTTCTGGACAGCACCTTCTGTTCCCCACTGTATGAACTGAGTATTTGTATCATCTCCAAATTTACATGTTGAAACCCAATGTGATGGCATTGGGAGGTGGGCCTTTGAAAGGTGGTTAGATTTAGATGAGGTCATGAGAACAGGGCCTCCAATGATGGGATTAGTGTCCTTCTGAGAATAAAAAGAGAACAGAGCTCTCTCTGTCTCTGTCACATGAGGAAGGACCCAGCGAGAAGTTGGCCATCTGCAAGCCAGAAAGAGAGGCCTCATCAAAACCCAACCATGTTGGCTCTCTGATCTCAGACCTGCAGCCTCAAGAACTGTGAAAAATAAACATTTGTTGTGTAAACCACCCAGTCTACAGTATTTCTGTTATAGCAGCCTGAACTATATGCTGTACACTAAGATATCCATGCTGAACAAAACAACACGGAACTGACAGAAAGAAGTAGGGTGATGGAGACTTCCCCTGAGGGGATCATGACCATTTTCCAAAAAAAAAAAAAAAAAAAAGAATTTTTCTCTCTAAAAAGATAAAGACTGTGATTGATTAGAAAACATAAATGAATGCTTATTATCCTCAATAAATGGTAGCTATTATCATCCTGGTTTTTATTTTGT